TACAAGAGAAGGGCTCCTTTTCTCCCACAGCCTTGCTAGCATTTGATATTGGTTAACTTCTTGATGATAGTCATTCTTTCCGAGGTGAGATGGAATCTCAGTGTTGTTTCAAATTACATCTCTCAAATGTTTAGTGATGTTGAACATTTTTAACATATTTATTTGCCGTTTTTACTTCTTCATCTGAAATGTGTGTATTCACCTCAGATTTCTATTTTTGGATTGAATCTTTAAATTTTGGAGGGGTCTGTTTTTTTTTTTGTTTGTTTTGTTTTTTGAGGAAGAACCAATAGAGCAAACATATAAGTTTTATATATTAACCCTTTTCTAAGGAACTAGTAAAAAATTGTTTTTCTGCTCTATGGGTTGTCTCTTTACTCTGTTGGTGGTTTCTTTTGCTATGTAAAAGTTTTCTAATAGATGAACGCCCCTCAGTTGATTATTTTCAGTATTTCTGTGATTGGGGTTTTGTTCACAAACTCTGCCTACATCTATGTCTTCAAGTGTTCTACATATTCTCTCTTTTAGCAGATTTAGTGTTTCTGTTTTAATGTTTAGATCTTTGATCCATTTTGATTTTAGTTTAATGCATAGTTAGAGTCATGGGTATAAGTTTAGTCTTTGACATATGGAAAGCCAGTTTTTCCAGTATCATTTATTAAAGAGGCTATCTTTCTTCCACTGAATGTATTTGGCCCCCTTGTCAAAGATAAGGTGGCTGAGTGTGTTTGGAGTTGTCTCCATGTCTTCTAATTTGTTCCATTGATCCTTAGGTCTTTTCTTTTTGCCAGTACCATGCTGCTTTTTTTTTTTTAATTTTAGGGAAGGGTCTAAAGGGTGTTCAAGGTCTCACTACTAGACTGGACTCATAGTGATCCGCCTGTTTACAGCCTCTCAAGAGCTGGGATTACAGGCACATGCTACCATGCCCAGTCTCTATTTTTTTTTTTACCATGTTGTTTTTATCACAGTAGCTTTATAGTATAATTGCAAGTCAGGGATTTTCATGCCCCCTGCATTATCTTTGCTGCCCAGAATTATTTTTGCTATTCCAGTTCTCTTCTGGTTCCAAATGAAGTTTAGGAATATTTTCTGTAGTTCAGTGAAGTATGCTGTTGGTATTTTCATCAGAATTGCATTGAATCTGTATAATGCTTTTGGAAGTATGGCCATTTTCACTCTATTGGTTCTTCCTAGCCAAGAGCAAGGAATATCTTTCTTTTTTCTGATATGCTTTTTGATCTCCTTTTTCAGAATATTGTAGCTTTCAATGTAAAGATCTTTTACTTCCTTTGTTAGATAGATTCCTAAGTATTTCATTTTTTGATACTATTGTGGAAGGTATTGTTTCACTAATTTCTCTCTCAGTGAATGTGTTTTTTTTTTCATATTTTAGAGAAGGGTCTGCAGGGTGTTCAGGGTCTAACTACTAGATCAGACTCATAGTGATCCACCTGTTTACAGCCTACCAAGAGCTGGGATTACAGGCACACGCCACCATGCCCAGGCTCAGTTGCCCTCTCAGTATGCCCCAGGTGTGGGGGTTGGCATGGCAGAGGGTTATTAGTGTATAGGAATGCTATTGATTGTGAGTGTTGACTTAGTATCTAGCTACATGATTCAATTTGATTATTAGATCCACAATACAAAGAATCAGTGAATTGACAAGGTTGGCTCTTTGAAGATTGAGTAAAATCAATAAACACTTAGCTCACCTTTGGGAGACCTCCAAAGCCTGATAACAGGCTGAGCCTGCTGCTCTTCCTTTAAGCCTATCCCCAGCACCCTGTCTCCTCACCCAGGAGAGGTGAGGCAGAAGGCTGGACAGTCCAAGGTGTTTAGTGAGTCCCCATGGGTTGGAGCACAGATTCTGGAGCATCTCCTTTATTTTTCTCAGAGCCCCATCTTCCCACACGGCCCCTGAGGCTCATGGAAGCCATATCATAGACACAGGAAGAAAATGACTGAACCATGACAGGAGCAGGCTCCATGCTTCCACCACAGTGCCTCAGGCCCAGACCACTCAGAGCTTCAACTGGACATTGGGTGATATTGCTGGGGAGGAGAGAGATCTTTTCAGATTAGCCCCTGAGGACACTCAGCCTTGTTCTTTTGGTGACTGTGTACTAACCCATGAACCAGACACAGCAGAATTTGTCATGCCTTGGGTCTGTGTACCCATGCACCCCACTTTGCATGATCATCCTAGGAATGCTCCATTTCATGGAAGTGGTCCTAGCACGTAGCGGTGTGGCCCAAGGTTCCCCAGCTGGAGCTGTGAAGGCTTCCACTCAAGCCCAAGCCCATTGATTCAAGGCACTGGATCAGATATTGATAAGAGATGCACAAACTTGCTGTTTGTCTCCCTATGGTCAATCACCTTCCCTAGACTGTAGTCCCTGGCAATCACAGGAATGGAGGGGTTGAGTGAACAGACTCTAATTCACATTGGAATCATAGTGGGCAGAATTATTAGTAGGTTGAATGTAGGTAAGAAAAAAAAATAATCGAGGTTTAGGCCAGAATTTGGGGCTTTGGAACCAAAGGGAGTTATTGACTGAGATGAAGAAGTGACTGAGAGCTTCAGGGACCAGGTAGTGGGAGGGAAAGGTAAGAGGTCCATGCTGGATACTCTGTGTTTGAGACACTTATTGGAAACCTGTATGGAGAGGGTGAGGTGACAGGACATCCAAGGGAGAAGTACAGGTGGTCCATGGTGAGGACACTGTTAGTACAGGAGATATGGAAGCCCAGGATCAGCTTCAGCCCTTGGGCCTGGCCCTGATGCAGAAGGGCCCTGGGTTTCCTGGCGTCTGTTACCTGGTGAAGCTTATGGATCCTTCTCAAAAACATATAAAACAAAGGCACAAGAAAGCATAGTAATATTGCTGTTAAATCAAAATACAAAAAATCAAACCTGTTATAAAATAGTATTGCAGTAGGTTGATAATATCCATAACTCCAAAGTTACAGTGAGAGAAAAATATATTTAAGACATTCAATCGCTGTAAGAAAATACTTGTGATTTCAATGGGCCATGAAGTCACAGGGCCTGTAGGACAGGTCTAGTTTGTGGTCTAAGCTCATAATTGGATAAATGCCAATTTTAAATTATACATACACATAAGTGGACAAAAAAGATGCAATTTTTATCACACAGGTTCGTGGACCCACTGAATTTTCTCAGCAGAACCTGGGATCTCATGTTGAGGACACTGGTATGGGGAGAGAAGTTAGAGAGAAAGAGAGAAGGGCCCAAGACTGGGCCACCAACGCACCCCACACATTGGAGCCTGACAAAGCAGAGGGGTGGCCAGGGACAGCAGGACCAGCAGGAGAGAGGTCTTGGGAAATGCTTCCACTGGCTGTGCTTTGACAGGCCCAGCAACACAGGATGGGAAGTGTCCCTCGAGGGGGCATCCAGGAGGCTCAGGACAAGGTGAATGGAAGTGTGAGGGGGACTCCTGGGGCCAGAGTGACGTGAAGGTAAATGGATTCCACATTGTGGTTAGTGTTTAAGCTTTTGTGTCAGCGTGAAGTGCTCCACAGCTGCATATTAGTGTGTTTAAGGTAGGGTGGGTGTGGAGGAGGGAACATGGAACTTGGGGCTGCAGAAAACATGGAAATTGGAGAGGCTGCTGGCTGGACTGTGGTTGTTTCCAGGTGGGAGCTGGGCTAGCGCGTCTGTGCATTGGGAGGGACCAGTAGGGGGCGATGACGCTGAGGAAGGAGGCTGAGATCTGAGGGCCAAAGGCTGGGGAAGCTCCAGCCCCTGCAGTCTCCATGCTCAGGCTTCTCACCCTGCAGCCAGTGTCAGATGGAGCCAGAGGCTGTTGAAGGGCAGAGGCAGGGATGCCTGAGCTCCTGCGTCAGAGGCCTGGGTGGGCCTGGGAACTCGTATTTCTAACCAGCTTCCAAGTGGTGCTGGTCTCAGGACCCACTTAGCAGGAGACCAAGGAGGCAGCAACCACAGCCTGGCCCCCAGCCCAGCTCACCGCCTCTCCCTGGGGAGTCTAGGTTTTCCCAGGGACCTTTGGAACCACCCCATCCATGGCGCTTCCCTGAAGACTGGGTGAGAGGCTGAGGGAAGGAGCCAAGGACAGGGTAGGGATGGTGGTGGGAGCCAGCAAGAACAGGGCAGAGGGGACCACGGCATCAGGACAGAGGAAAGGAGCTCACGCTCTGCCTGCAGGCTCCAAGCCTGAGGCCGAGCTGTTTGCCTCTACAACTGGAGCCTGCTTTCAGGCCAGCCCTGCTTCCTGACAGGAAAGAATAGACCTGTCAATGAAATGCATGACAGCGTGTGGGATCCTAGGACCCTTGGGGACCAGAACCCAACCCTGCTTGGAAGACAATGTCAGAAGTTAGAAAGCACAGCCTGGCAGATGGGCCTACAAGGGACAGATGGGTGCCTGCCCCTGCTTGCTACTCTTGCCTGGGAAGCTGGGCCCAGGGCATAACACAGGGCCTGTGCTTTGACCCTTGCTGTCCCTCTTCAGCATCAATTCATTAGGCATATGTTTATGAAACATCTGCTGCATACCAAGAATTGTTCCAGACAGAGATAAAGCAGCAAATAAAGTCAACTCCATACCTTATGAACTTGAAATTTTAGAGGGCAAGAGAGAACAGAAAGACATGCAGTGCAGTTTGGAGAGTGGTAATTGGAGTGTGGTAGTAGGAGGCCTGGGCAAGAAGAGCCTGGGAGAGGGTGTCATTTTGGCTTTTTCTTTTAGTGAGATAGCAACATGGATAGATTTGAGCAAGGAGTCTGTGGCTTGAGTTAGGCTTAGCAGGATCCCTCTGGCTGTGGAAGGGAGGATGGTAGAAGCCTGAAGACCAGGAGAAAGCTGCTGAGATAGTCCAGAGAAGGGGTGGTGGTGGACTGATCTGGCACATTCTAAGCCCCTGGCTGCTCTGTGGCTCTGCATGGAGACTCTTGGGAGGGACAGAAGCTTCTCCCGGCCCCATCTGGAACCTGGTTTGCTATTTCCCCATAGCTGAAGGAATACATCAGGACAACCTTGGGGTCAGAGCTTCAGCAGGCCCAGAAAAACATAGTTCAGAATCACACGACCTCCATACTGCAGCTGGGCACCAGCCTTCTGAAGGAGATCAAAGCCCAGACACTCAAGCTCATGGACACGCAGGCTCAGGTAATGGGGAGAAGGTGGGTAGGTGCTCGGGCTGGGATCTTGCCTTGACCTTGGCCCCTGGGTTAGATCAAGGCCTCCTCTGGGACTTAGGCCCTTGCTTATGCTCTTTGAGGACCCAGGCCCAGTGCTACTGCCCTCTGGTCTGGGCCTTGGTGGCCTGGCTTCTTGGCCTGTGTGTGTGTACTGCCTGGGCTGTGCTGGGCACAGGCAAAGGAGAGATGCATAGTCCCTCCTCCAGGGGTGTAGGTCCCTGGCGAGAAAAGAGGGTGAAGAATCCTTTAGGCTTCAGGGCCAAGGACTCCTGGAAGGCCAGGAGGCACCACTGAGGAGCAGCCCTGGAGCCTGGTCCAGTGGGCAGTGTGTGACTGGCAGGGAGGAGGTGCATGCAAAGCAGGTGGGTGGACACCAGCGTGCTGGAGAGACCACCAGAGAGTGGCAGGTGGGCAGAAAGATGATGCAGGCAGAGTCATGGGCCTGGTGGGCCATGGTGAGGATAGAAGGGGCAATAGGGCCACTGTGAGCAGAATGGCCACATTGGGAAAGGCTGCCAAGCAGGAATGGGCAGAGTGGACAAGGGTGGCTCTGTGAGGAGGCTAGTGCAGGACACTGGGCAAGAGGCCACAGACTCAGAGCTGAAGAAGGGGCCATGAAGGGAAGTTGTCAGGGACCATGTGGAAGGGAAGGCTGGAAGCACTTGCTGTGAGGTCAAGGATGATCCTTATGGGGCCTGGGAGCAGGGCTGGAACTGTCACAGGCAGTGATGGGGGAAAATTCAGGAGGCAGATTGGGTGCTCAGGCAGGACCTGTCTGTGTGTGCACAAGTGACCACAGGAAGGGTTGACTTGGAGAGTGGCTCTTGGTCAGCAAGAGTCAGGAGTGACAGGCTTGTGGGCTGACTGATGGCATCTAGTATGTGCCTGCAGGGCTCACGGAGTCCCCACACTCCTATTCCCTGGTATAGGTGAGGAACCCGATGTCGCACACGGAGCACCGCGTACTGGAGGCTTTGCAGACCACTGACAAGCTAGAGAAGCAGCTAGAGGAGCAGAGAGTGAGGCTAAAGCAGCTTCACAGCAGCAACAGGTGGGCGCAGGCCCTTGGTCCTGCTGGGGCAGCAGCCGAGCCAGGAATCAAACCTGGGACCCAGGCTGAAGATGGGGCTGGGGCTGAGCTCGGAGCTGGAACTGGGCCAGTGAGTGGGTGGGACCCAGGCCTGATGAGGACTGCGGTGAGCAGAATGGGACTGGGACTGAAGCTGGGCCTGGGCCCCTGCTGGAAAGGACTGGAACTAGGCTCAGAGTCCAGAGATGCTCGGAGGAGCATAGGCAACAGGACTAGGCTGGGGCTGATTTGGTGGCCAGGCAGGGTGAGGTGCGTGCCCAGCATTGCTTGGGGAACAGCAGGAAGGGCCTGCTCCTGGGGCTCAGGACACCTTGAATCTTGCTGTTTTTTTTTTTTTTTTTTTCTCTTCTTCCTATCTTTATTTTATAAACTTATATACTTTATTGAGATATAATTTATATAGCACAACATTCACCCTGTCTCTTTTCATGGGCATAAATGATATGTACAACCAGGTCCAGTCCACCTGCCCCCCTTCCCCAAGGACACCACAGAGGCCACTTTGCACTGTGCAGAATCAGAGTTCCTTCACTGTATGCAAATCTGCATCAGTGAACACACTTTAATTACAAAGGAAAAGATGATCCTGGCATTCTGGTAAGTCAGAGACCTGACTCCCACCCTCTAGATTTGATCTTAGTTTGAGTGGAATGGAGAATCCTTAAGGTCAGGGTATATCCTAAGGTCAGGGTTTTTCCTAAATTCAGGGTTTGAGGAAGCCAAGCCTCTTCAGGGAGGAGCCCTGTCTTAGGGTGAGGTAGGCACTGCATGCCTGAGCTCAGCGCAGGGCCCAGCCATGAAGCCTGGCCCCTCTGTCTGACATGGGTCTCATTAGTAGAGATTCCTGTTCTCATTTTCAAACCTGAAGTTCCAGGTGGCAAGAGCTGGGGTATTGCAGTCACTCTGAATTGGGCAGTTTCCTGGAAGTGCACAGATAGAAGACACTGTCAATAAGCTCTTTGTTTTGTTTTGTTTTTTTGTAGAACAGGCGATTGAACTCAGGTCCTTGAGCTTGCCAGGCAAGCACTTATTCTACTGAGCCGTCTCCCCAGTCCCTCAATAAGCTCTTGATGGGTGGACAGCGAGCATTCTAGAATTTGAGTGTGTCCAGATTGTCTCTTCCTGCACTATAATTTGGGATCTGTGGCAATGTCTACTGCCCTGGCTGGATTTAGCTCTTAGTCTGGCGAATGGGTGAGCAGGACTGGATGGAGAGGAAAATCCTCCCTTCCCAGCCCTGTCCCTCAGCCACTGGGCTTCTGCAGTCAGACAATGGCTACCTGAGTGCTGCTGTCCCAGCTACCAAACCACTGTCCTCCCATGGACCCCAGTGTACACCACTCCCCGCCCGAGTCCACATCTACAGTGGAATCGCACTGTGGGACATGTGGCCCTATACGGGATGCTCCCCTCTCTGGCATGCCCTGTGTGGCACTAATTTCAGGACAGAACAGCAAGCTTATTACTGTGCTGTTCATCCTGCAGTGACCTGGAGACTCGGCTGCACACCCTGGAGACTGACCAGGAGGCTCAGCTGGTGGAGCTAGATGACATGAGGCAGCTCAGGGAGGAGTTGGGCCAACAGCTGGAGAGCCTGTCCCACATCAGCCAGGACTTGAAAGCCCTGAACAGCAGCCGCAGCATCCTGTACCAGCAGCAGGAGCAGCTAAAACAGAGCCTGCAGCTCCTCAAGCGCTTGATAGAGCAGAGCCCAGGTGAGCTGGTGGGGCCTCTGGGGCGGAGGCTGGGGCAACAGCTGGGGTGGGGGGCAGGAACCAGGAAGGAGCCCTGTTCAGAGTCCAGGGTCACTCCAGGTCACCCCAGCCTGGGAAAGGCCACACCCTTCTGGCTAATTGGCCAACAGAAATAACACTGAACAGTAATAAGAATGGCCACATTTTTTTTTTTTTTTTTAATTTATTTATTTATTTTTACATTTTTTTGGTCTGAGATGGGTGCTCCATTGCTGTTAGAGAAGCTGTATTTGGAGCAGTCTTTAAAGGACCTTTTCATACTTGATGCCAGTTCAAATATTATAGGTACTCAAATTCAGCAAAATAAGCCAATATACTCCAATGGTCCATAATCATAGTGGGTTATCAGCAGAACTGGCAAATGTCAGAAGTTGCTGACTTGAGCCTTTTCAGCTCAGCATATTAATATGACATTACTTTTTATACCTCATGGTTATACTTTTCTGCTGGTTGGTTAAGATGAAGTTAAAGCAAGACCTATATAACTACAAATGTAACTTTTGTATCTGACAAGGTCAGTCAAATCCCCTCAGGACTTACCCTGAAACGATGTAGAACAGCTTGTAGATCTTTTATCAGTGTCAAAAAAGGGGAATATAAATTGAGGACCATTTTGTATTGAAAAAAATATGTACAAAATAGGATAGATAGTTACTTTCTCTTAGTTCAATGAGAAGAAATGTTTTTACTAATATTGTTTAGACAAGAGATCATGTCTGCATCTTGTACTCTGAATAACTACTACAAAGACAACAATATGCAGTGTATTAATTGATAAGTACATGACACAGCAGAGAAACAGGCAGAAGGGAGAAGGGAAAGGGGCTTTATTTGCTTTGAGGACACAGGAGAGAATGTGGGGAAGAATGAGGAATTCTCTTTCCCCTGGAACAAAGGGACACAGGCTTTTATGGCCTTTTGCCACAGGTGGAGCTTAGAGGGGATGTTTATTTATTTATTTATTTATTTATTTTTGGATTAAAACAAAGTTGACTTCTATTTTTTTTTCTTGGTGTTATTTAATTTTTTAAGTTGAGGGGATGTTTAGATATACCTGAGGGAGCTGATTTGGGTCTTCTCTGAGGCAACAGGAAGGGTGGAAGTAAACTATGTCTTGGGCTAAGTTGGAGAAGAAGGGGGAGGTGATATTGGGCCTTTGTTTTAAAGGCATCGGCCATATTAGATGACCACCATGATGACTAGCAATTCATACTAGGGCTAGAACCTATCATTAATTATTGTAACTGTCCTACTAACCCCTTTTGAAACTATCTCATTGCTATTTCTTTCACATTAAAATTAATAAATAATAATAATAATAATAAAAGAATGGCCACAGCCATGGCCCCGAGAGCAGCCCATGCAGACTGCTCGTGCCTTCTTAGGTAGCTGAGTCTGCCCCCTGCCCATCCCACCTCAGTCCTTAGTTTCCCCATTTGCCCAGTGGAGGTGATGGTGTTACCAAGGACAACAGCAGCCAACTCGTACCTTTGGGCTCCAGGCCTCATCCTTCAGCCCGCTTGGCTTATGACACCTTACCCTTCCTTAGACTTCAGTTTCCTCAGAGTGGGGATGTGGATCTCAGTGCAGCCCCAACGACTTCTCTTCTGTAAATGCTGCACCTTGAGGCCCAAGAGGGCACAGGGGAGGCAGGGCTTTCCTTGCTCCAGTTGAGAAGGGAGCGTAGTGGACAGCCTGCCTGTCAGCACTCACTGCCTGTGCTGCACCATTGGGGGCCAAGGCTTCCCAATTCCAGCTTCTCTCAGTCAGTCAACAAGTGTTGATTCTGTTAGGTTTTTCAGTGGTGGAGAAAAGAGATAAGGAAGATAAAAGAGGCCTTTATTGACTCTGAAGACATGAAGAGAATCTGAGGGAAAAGGGAGTGTGAGATCCTCTGACTTGAGAGAAAGGTGAAACTTTTATGGACTGTTGTTAGGGGTGGAGTTTGAGGGGCAGGTTCAGTTACATGTAAGGGGCTCCTTTGGGTCTTCGCTGTGTATGTGGGAAAGGCATCCAGCACTGGGGTGGGGAAGAAGGAGGAAGTGGCCTCCGAGAAGATAAGCTGCTGTTTTCCCGCTTGTCATTGTTTTGTGGGCAGGAGGATTCACAGGATGACAGGTCATTGCTACATAGAAGCTAGGGAATCTTGAAAAAGGTTTAACTTTTTTATTTTATTTTATTTTTTGCGGAACCGGGGTTTGAACTCAGGCCCTTGCACTTGTCAGGGAAGTGCTTATTCCACTGAGCCATCTCCCCGGCCCCTAGAAAAAAGTTTTAAAAGTCAGGGTTCTATGAGAGGAGAGATCATCATCATAATCAATGGACTCAGAAGGGAAAGCAGGAAAGGCTCTATGATCCAAATGTGTCATTCCACTATGGCTGTGGTGAGGGGGAAGAGTGTCAATTTTTTCGTTCTTGATGTCTGCTTTCTAGGGGCTTAGGAAAGTGGGTGCCCTGGGAAGAAGCTGAGGCCAAGGCAGGTGTAATTCCAAGGGAGGTTTGGAGAGCTGGGCCTTGAAAAGCCCATTTGCCTCTGCTACTCCAGATCTGCTGAACATGGCATGTCCTGGTCTTTTTGAGTGTATGTTTGTTGAGCTACAGTCTATGAACTGTGTGTCAGAATAGGTGTAACCACAGGAATGATAACCCTGGGAAGATGCACTGAATGACAGGAGCCATTGGATTTAAGTACAGGAAGAATGGGAGTATGATAAGGTGAGCACAAGCAGGAAGTATCTCAGAGCATGTGGTCCACAAAGGAAGAGGGAAGGAGGGGCTGGCTGTGCATTGAGGTTGGGTGTGTAGGATGAGCACTTGGGGAGAGAAAGATGAGAGAGAAGTGGAGCTTTTGGAGATTTCTCCCCATGAGAGGTATAGGGCAGGTTGAGATCACACAGGAATTATGAGTGAAAAAATGGTGTCTGGATTTAGCAGGGAATGGCCTTGTCTGAAGGGCCCATGAAAGTCAGCCATCCACATCCACATCCACTATGGAAACTGCAGATCTAATACAGTAACCTGTGAACTCAGAAAGAATACTATATGTGGTTTCTGTGTCAGCAAGAAAAGAAAGTCCTGCCTGAGCCCCAAGAAGGGAGGGCCGTGGCCAGCTGGCTTCATGCCACATCCTGGGTGCTTAGGCCCTGTCTGCAGACTGGGGGCACCTTGCTTGAATGAGGGCTCCCCTAATGCCCTCTGAACAGCCTTGCACTTCTCCTTGGGTCTCCCTACTTTGAGTCTCTGCCTGGGAAACCCACTCTGATCACAGTGCTCTTGCTGGGCAGAGCAGTCTGGGCTCTACAGCCTGGTGCACAGGGAGGGATGGCCCTATTCAAACAGCCTGCTCTCCACCCTGTTCTTTTCCTTCCCTCTCTCTGCCCACCTGACAACATGTCAAGCAGCCAGAGTGCTCTCTGCAAAGGCTCTGCATTGCCATGCATCAGTGTGACCTTCTGGCCCTGTGTCTCTGCTCTGGTCACTTAGGAGCTTGCCCTGCTATTCCCTCTGCCAAGAGCACCACATCTTCTCCAGCTTAAACTCCTGCTCCCTGCTGAGGCCCAGGTCTCTATCCCTTGTTATAGGCAACATGCAAGCAGTGGCTCCTCTGTCCATCCTGACACCTCCCCAGTCCGGACCTATGCATCGCAGGAAGGTGAGCTCACTCTGTCCCTACCACCACTTTGCTCATCTCTAGCTGACTTTGGTTTCATCCCTTTGCTTCCTCCACAGATGCAAATGTGCTGAAATTCCAGGACTGTGAGGCTGTCCGCAGGTTTGGGTTCCATAATGACGGTGTCTACACCATCTTCCTGCCTTTCCTGAAGCAGTTCAAGCGGGTGAGAGGGGCTGTGGCTGGGGGAGGTGAGAGCTTACCCGTGGATGTTGAGCGCGGAGCTTTCCAGATAACCCCCCTTCAGCATCATGCTTTTTGGAGAAGTGAAATGTGTCATGCTTTTTGGAGGACTGAAATGCCAGCAAGTGGGGGTACCCTGCATTGTTGAGAGCTCATGTAGGCAGAGGTGTAACCAGGGGACAATGTGCACAAGTGCTTGCAATAGGAGCACTGCCTTCCAGAGAGGCCTCTCACTGGGGTAACAGGAAATAGCTCTGTGCTGGCTAAGATTGTGCTCAGTTATAAGTGAACCCTGCAATTCCAAGGGCCCAGCACAAAACTTATTTATTTATTTACTTATTTACTTATTTATTTAAGGGAATTTTCTACGGGGTGTTCAGGGTCTCACGACTAGATTGGACTCATAATGATTTGCCTGTTTACAGCCTTCCAAGAGCTGGGATTACAGGGGTGCAGTACCAGGCTCAGTCTCAATTGCAGTCTGAGAGTGCCTCTGGGGTGGGGACAGCATGGCAGGCCAAGGGATGGAATCCCCAGCCTCTGTGCCTGCTTGCAGGTGCTTTAATACACTGAGCTATTTGGCTGGCCCAAAATTTATTTTTATTGAGGGCAGAAATTGGGACTTTGCTGCCTGCAGGATATTGGCGTGAGGGTTCCATGGAGGCACCACCACCTCCGGTTAGCTGCTTTAGAGGTGACCCTGAGCTCACAGGTCCTGTAATCAGGTGGGGAAAGGGTGGACGGGAGAGATGCGTATGAGGCATGGCTTGGAGCTTTCAGAGGGAATGGGATGGGGGAGCACCTGTCCAGCAGTCCTGCCTTGTAATTCCCTCTGTACTCTCCAAACTTCTCACTGTGTCAGCAATCAGCCCCATTTGTCTCTAGAGAGCTTTTCACACATCCGGTAAATGAGCCTTTAAAGAAATATGGCTCTGTGTTTGCAACAATTTCTAGCTTGAATTTCATGATATTTTGTTTTGTTATATTTATTTTCACAATCATGTGATTATGCCCAAGCATGAACATTTTCCATTCATGCTACTAGTAAGATTTCTTAGCAAGAGACCTGACTAGTTTTCAAGGAAAATATGATTTGGGAAACTTAAGCAAATGTAGGACAGATTGAATTTGGGATGGGTTAATGGCTGAGATTCGGGGACAGTGATGTAGAGGTGAGAGCTGGCCTGGGAGGATAGAGATCAGGACCCAGCCTTCAGCTCTCCTCTGAAGAAAGTTCTTCCCCTTGAGACCCCTGGACACCCTGCAGCCCCACAACAGGGGTCCTGCTTCTGTCCCTCACCTGAGCTTTCCTTCCTTGGAGCCCCCACCCCTCCTGCTTGTGTCTTCATGGAAATGCTGTTCCCCTCACTTCTCTCATATGCACACCCCCATTCAGTGCCTGCTGGGACGCTCCCTCCCCAGGAGGTTTTGGTGTGGCTGAGTCTCTTGTGGGCTTCTCCTTGCAGCCTCCCAAATGTGCATGATCCCGTGTCTTCTGCCCCATCACAGCCTCCTCCAGATCAGGCAGCAGGAAGCTCCATTTGTCTCTGATTCATCCTGTGGAGGGCAAGGCACCAAAGCTGTACTTAGGGGATATTGAACTTGTACCAAACTGATAGAGAAAATAGTATATGAACAGTAGTTAGCCTTGTTTGAGTAGTTGTGCTGGGTTGTGGCTCTTGGAGAGAAAGGCTTTTGTTTTTGTCTCACCCACATTTGTAACCCCAGAGGTTTGGACAGAGCATCACACATAATAGTTTTTCAGCAAACTGTACTGTGTTTTGAGGGTCAGCAATAAGAGCTTTTCCTGCATCTACAGGGTGGCTAAGCCCTTTATGCCACCCATGTTTAATCCTTCCAACAACCAGCAGAATTAAGGAGGGGGAGCCTCTCTTCACTTCTCTCCTAGAATGTTCTGGGCCCTCTTCTAGACATTCACATGACCCCTCTCATTTAACTCTCACAGCAATGAGGGGAAAGTTAGGTATGAAGAGGTCAAGATGTGAGCACCCCCATTGTACAATTGAGGAGCAGGTGGCTGTGGGAGGGCGTCACTGCCTATGACTTTAGGCAATGACAATGGGGGCAAAGATGAAGCCTGGCATTTTCTGATGAAATTGACCATCTTTGCTCTGCAGGACATGCCCTGGATGCAGCTTTTGGTTGTGTCCAGGGCATCTCAGCTGCTCCCCTGTTGACAGGTGTTCTGCGTGATGGATCCAAGTGGAGGAGCCTGGACCGTCATCCAGCATCGGGAGAATGGCAAAGTGAATTTTGACAGGAACTGGGAGGACTACAAGCAGGTGACTCTGCTGCCCTGGGGCGGGGCTCTGTGACTCTGAAACCCAGTGCTGGTGTTGGTGGGGACAGATGTGTGTTTGCCCTCACATTTTTCCAGCAAACTTAATCAGCCCCTCTGAGCCACCTACCCACAAACACCCTCACCCGGTATCCACACACTTCCCAGATGCCCCACCCCTGAATTTGACCCTCTTTATGAAACTTCTGTCATACATTCTGGGAATGAAATTTCGCTCTTGTTTCAAATGTTGGAAAGAGTATACATTGCTAAGCATTTTTTGAAAAGAACAGAGTCAGATGAAAGGACACGGTCCCCAGCCCCCAGCTACACTGCTTGAATGAGTTTCTTTCACATTTGGTACTTGTGTCACCCACCAGGAGCATCAATTCTCTAATGTGCAATTGCTTGTGCAATGACCATCAGATTTTTGAAATGAGATATGCTTACTGATTGCTGTCCAATTTTCTTAAAATAAATTTTGAGTACAGAAATATTGGAAAGTTAATGTAAACACTCTTAAACTTTTCGAAAGCAATACAGGAAATATATCCACAAGGAAGTACAGTTATAATATTGTGTGCACTTGCTATTCTATTTGATGAACAGTCAAATATACATATCAAATTAAATTATAGTTGTTCCTGAACCACTATTTTTTTAATTCTTTTTTTTTAAAGGAATATAAAACTATTTATTGACCACTGCTCACCATTATTTACAATAAAGTAAACAATATACATTAGGATAACATTCTGACTACTACAAAGTTGTTTTCCTGGCTTCTGCTGAAAACAGTAACTCGAATACTGAAGATTGAACCTACATGTAAGGAACAAGTTGGGATCAAGAAATAGCATGTAGGTCAATAGTTTAGATTACAAGTGTGTCCGCTCATTTATTCTAGGTCTTAAACTGTGAACACCGCCAGCCACTCAGTAGGTTTCTGACAGCCAAATCAAGACATACATGAATCCTGACTTTTGAGTGCAGATTTCAACTTGCTGTGAAGTAATGAGTCTTGAGGAATTTTTAATGTTCCCTTGTTAAGTCTTAGCAAATTCAAACAAACCAAGTTTTGACTTGCTACCTTATTCGGGTGGGAAAGTTGTTGGTAGAGATAAGAATTTTTTTTT